AAGAGCTCCCAAAGAGGAGACGGGTTGTGCTGAACGGTCCCCCGGGTACCAAACCTAAATTTACCTGCACTTCCGCGTAGTGGTCGACGCCGAGCGGCATGAGGGTGATTTTAATGTCGCGGTATCCCCCCCTCCCCACCGCGGTGCTCCCGAAGCCATTCTTGATCCTGCCGATCCGGCCGATCTCTTTGCACGCCTTTAGCTTGTCGGTTAGCTCCCTCACCAGCTCCGGAGTCTCGCAGATTACGGACGTGCGCGCCATGTCCAGCACCCTGAGGGAATACGTACCACATTCACATAGTGAGGCAGGCGGAATGGGGGAGAGGGGAATGGCGTCTTTTCATTGCAATGATCAGTCGGTTAGCGCGATCGATGCCACCAATTAAGACAGGGGATACACACTATTATAAAAAGTTGTCGCGGTTGATGCCAACAACAATAACGACACATAACACGACCTGTTCACTGCTGTTCGGCCGGTTACCGCGACCGATGCCAGCAACAAACACATGCACACCCACCTGCGGAACTCGCCCCCGTAGTCGTCGGAGGCCTTGCGCTTGATGTTATCTTTCGACTTGACCGGTACCGGCCTGACCCACAGCCCGTTGGTGGCCGCGGTAAGGCGGTCGAGAATCGAGTCAAGAGCGGCCTTGGCACGGACCGCGTCGGCGTAGTGGGCGTCCACGGAATCCGTCCGGTTGGGCTGCCTGAAGAATTAGAGATTTTGACAGAAACAACATATATACCGTCAACATCCTCTTTGCTGTGAAATCCGAAAATGTACCATGCCGTTACATGAAAGAAGTGGGCGTCGAACGACCCCGTCCTTCCGGGCTGCCTCGAGAAATACATAGAGATTTTGACAGAAACAACAAATGTACCGTCAACACCTTCTTTGCTGTGAAATCCGAACATATATTATGCGGTGTACATGGAAGAAGTGGGCGTCCACCCACCACGTCCTCTTGGGCTGCCTCAAGAATCAGAGATGTTAAACAGAAACAACACATCGCAAACATCTCCTTTGCTGGATGGTAGAAGCATAGTCTAAAAAGCCTAGTTCTTACACCTCGTCGACAGAACAACATATGCATATCGTCAACATTCACTTCGCTATAAAATCCATAAAAATGTGTTATGCCGATACATGGAAGAAGCGAGCGTTCACCGACTTCCTCCGGCACGTTGCATGACGCAAGATATCACACCCCCAAGATCGATTTTCAGACGTCGACTACTCCACGAAGAAGAGGATGCGATCACATCAAACGACACGCTGACGGAAAGCTCTCGGCGGGACGGCTTCAACGTCGCTATCCTCGGCACGTCATTTCCGTCATTTCCTCTCCTTTTCTCACTACAGCACGATGCTGCAATCGGCTAGCCCGTCCTATTTCATGTCTAACAAACAAAACACTACACGTCATTTCCTCTCCTTTCCTCACCACAGCACGATGCTGCAGTCGGCTAGCCCCTCCTATTTCACGTCTCACAAACAAAACACTAAACGTCGTCTCCTCCTCTTCTCTCACCTCAGCACGATGTTGGGGTCGGCTAGCCCATCCTCTACGCCCACTTTCTCGAGATCTGCGAACTCAGGCCGCTTCCTCAACCGAACCTGCTGCTGGTCGCACAAAGCCTCGTAGCCGCGCACAAACCCAGCCTTCATGTTTTTTTATTTTTTGAAGGACGGATGGAACGACGAATACACAACGGCGAGTTTGTTGGCGAGGGGTGCTTATGTCCGTCTTTCTGGACTTGACTGCTCGGCGTATACATAGAAACAGTCTTCCAAAACTAAAAAAAATCGCGAGCGGTGGGACGTTTTAGAATTGTTTTACTGGGGTCGCTTTCTGCCAGCGGAAACAAGAACTGTTTATTTTGCTTCGGACTCGGATTGTGGGGCACGAAGAAAAAAATAGTACTGCAACAAAGTCCCAGAACTGCAACCCGCAGTACTACCTGCTCGTACTTGACCAGGTGTAGCTTTGCCTCCCGCTCCACCGCGGGCATTGTCTGCGATCGACAAGCGAGGCGAATGAAAGCAAAGCGTGAGGGACGCGAAGAGTAGGCGGAAAAAAAACGGAGAGAGAAAGAGAGAGAAAAGAAAGAGACAAGAGATGGCACAGAGGAACGGGAGACCACACCCTACAACACGCAACACACCCAATTGGTGAAGTACAAGGGAGAGGATACGCGTCTCTACTGCCAACACCACCAAACTGAACCAGCAACCACAAAACCAAAACACGACCAGCAACCAAAACGAACCGCCACTCCTGCACCACTAACAAGCACACTGCCACCACAAAAAAAAAAAATCAAGGGGTCAGGGATCACCGCCTACCCGCTGGAGGCATGCATGCAGACAACAGCAGCACACAGCGACAACAACGACAACGATAACCGCAAACAAAAACATGCCTACGACAAGGAGGAAAAGGAAGAATAAAAAAAAAAACACAATGCACTGCTGTAGGCATGCATGCAAGCGAAAGCGTACACACATCGAAGACATACATCGGCTTTCTGCAGGGCGGCGATGACCAGCTCCCTCTCTCGGGCATCGGCGAAGGTGCTACCCGCCGTAGAGTTGCTGGCGTGCTCTCCGGACCGCGACGTGCTGCCGCTGCCGCTCCTGGCCAGGGCCTTCTTCTGGTACACGTGTGCGTGCGTGCGTGCGGGTGTGTGTGTTATTCGTCCTGGCAATTATGGCGACAGTCCCCCCGTTTTTCGTGGTGGGAAGTGTACTACACGTGTTTCATTTCATTGTGTGTAACTGCTACTAGCATCGACGGCATGATCATTTGTTTCTTTCACCACCGACCGCACCCCTCTCTCTCTCCGTGTGTGTGTTTGCATGTTGACAGATTTCCGATATGCGGTCTCACCGCAAAAAAACAAAAATGCGACTGACCACGGAAAAAGAAATAGTCCAGTCTGGTTGATGAAGTGTAGACTTTCGAGTTACAGGTGCCCAAATCAGAAGAAGGCTACCAAGCAACAGCACTATAATACTAGATACCGCGACCATGACAACGACCACGGCGGCGGCGGCGGTACCTGCTCAGCGCCAGCTGCCAGACACAAGAGGCTCTTTTCATCTGTGGGAAGAGGTGGTTTTGGTTTTATTGTCAAAAAATAGCCAACGATCCGACCAACAACAGCATCGGCGGCGACGCCCGAACCATAACGGCAAAAACAGCGAGGGCATCCACGGTGTACATACCTGCGCAGCGCCGGCTCGCTCCGTCATGTCGGCGAGCTGCCTCTGGGTGGCGTTGTCCGCGGCAAGGTTTCCATCGCCGGGGCCCAAGACGCTGCCCCAGCCGGACACGCTGGAGCCGGGAGATATGACGCTGGTGGACGCTTTTGAGGTAATCTTTCCCATGCCCGCCGGCGTCGTCGACGCCGCCGACCTCGACGAGGGAGCCTGCGGGCCGCAAGGCGGGTGGGGGGGTCCTCATTCTTCTTGGTCGCGTTGAGTAGGTATAGGTTCGACTGTTCGTCAAGCGTTTCTTTCCAACCGGATAACCGTTGAGTACTTGCTACTTCGCGTCGGGGAGGGGGCGTACTCGCGCACACTGGGGAGGGGTGCTCATTTGCTGCTTGCCTTCAGTAAACCAAGGGTCCACCGTCCACCAAGCGGTCCATTTCAAAGGGAGACACCGCACGATAAGGCTACTCCAAACTACTTGGAGATGAGAACAAGATGTCGCGCCTCCACATGTGGCAATTTCTTGCCGGTCGTGCCCCCTTCCTAATCCCAGCGTTATCTCATATGACATGAATCCTACTGTGCCCTGCTTTTAACCTCTACCACCCCCCTTCAAGAGCATTCTCGTATTTTCCTCGGAGACTCCGGTCTGATATCCCCAATCTCCCCCCCCGCCCCCCCGTGTCGCACACACACCCCGTTACCCCCAACTTACCTCGCGAGCGTACGTCGAGCCCTCATCGATGCCGCCCCGGCTGTGCTGCTGTTGGTAGTTGCTGTCAGCGGTGTTACGGCCGTCCAAGGAGGCTCCGTTGGGAGAGGGTCCTCCTGCCGCTGCTGCTTCTCTTGCTTGTACTTCTTCGGCTGGAGATGGGGGTGCCGCTGTTTGGGAGGGGGGGGGGGCACGGTCGGAGGCGGTGGCGGCGGCAAGAATTGACATCGTAGACAGCATTGCAATTCGAAAGACACGACCACTCACTCACACTGAAGGCGGGTGCATTCAAAGAACTGAACAAGAGCTGTGCCATATTTTCCTCTCGACGACCTCCTGCCTTGGAAGGCGTTGTGTTTCTTGTCCCTCTGATAAGACTACAGAAAAGCGTGTTTCAACTGGCCGGGCGACGGTTGATAACACACACACACACCACAGATGTTGGCATTCGCATTTACCGCGTTGTACATTGTTCGACGTTTGCACCCCCCCCTCCAGGGACCTTGTTTTTCACCCGCTGGCACTGCTCTTTTGATTGGTCAGCCGGTTGAGGCGGTCGACGCCGAAAAAACACACCCACACCGCACAAGCTACACGGTTTCGAATGTCCGTGCTTCCACCCAACGAGGAACAAAGGAAGACAAGGATAGAGAGACAAACAGGTGGCGAGGGAGGGAGAGAGACAGGCAAAGAGAGAGAGAGACGGAGAGAGATACACACACTTGGTAGACACGTGCAGTGCAGTTGTCTTATTGTTGGTACCGTTGCCGTCTTTGATCCGGAGAATAGCTTCGCCTCCCTCACGCCGCCCCCGCACGGGGTCCTAGTTAATGGCATTTAGAAGAGTTTTGTGTGTCTTGTGTTTTCAACCGCAATAAGCCGGTTAGCGCGGTCGATGTTCTCTCTCTCTCTCTCTCACATACACACACACACACACACACACACACACACACACACACAGACACACACGCCGCACTGAGACTGACGTCTTTTCATTGGTCAGCCGGTTAGCGCGGTCGATGCTAATAATAAAAGCACACACACACACACACACAGGAGCGCCCTCACCTCGCCCCGACGAGCCCATAGGGTCCTTGATAGTAGTCACAGTCGTGGACCGGTCAGCGTCCCCCTCCGCGGGGGTAGTGGTACCAGTCGTACCCGTCGGCACCAGCATGTCGCGGAACTGGTTCAGAGCCTTGGCCTGCCCCTTGAACGCGATGCGGATCTCGATGTCTGTGCCCATGAGGGTCACGCTCTCCTCTGAGGGGGTCTCGTGAACCTAGCGCAGCGGGGGGGGGGTGTTACGCGCGAGTTGATTGAGGAATAAGTGGTACGTGGTTTTCCTCGCACCGTCTCTTCGTACTGCTTCAGACATGGGCATACCTCTCGCACGCATGTCGTGTGCTAGAGCACGAAATTGACCATAGAAATTGAGGGGACCGAGAAACAAGAACACAAGCAGCTACGATGGCCGAGCAGCACCTTTGACCGCTAAGGGTCAAGCGCATCAAAGCGAAACGTGGCCCTCCTTAAAACGGAACGCGACCACCGTTTCAAACGGCTCGTACCAACGAGGGCAAGCGTCGGACATTGGCGTGTTATTAGAGTGCCACGATATGCACGCATTTACAAAAATAGGGTTGACTACGGCAGTTGGTCGGTTGACTTAATGGCCAGAAGGGTCGAGACAAACATATCAGAAACACCTACAGCAGCGGAGCCGCAAGACCTGACCCTTGAGGGCTATAGGCGCATCAAAGCGAAACGGGTGACAAAACCGAATCTTTAGGGTGGTCCCCGCCCACGCACCTCCAGGAGTTCGTCCAGCGCTAGCTCGTGGTCGACGCCCCCCTGCTCGGACTTGACCACCAGGGTAGTCCCGTCTGGGGAGAGGCGGAGGTGCCGCAGCCGGGTAGACACGAATCTGCGGACCCCCCGCACGACAAGGAGATACACAAAAAAAGACAAAACAAGGGGCGAGTTCATGGTTATCGTCCCGCTGTGAAACTCACCGTCTTTCTTTTCATCGGTGAGCCAGGTATACCTACGTAAAGCGTGCGCATGTACGTACAACGCGTTCGATTTGCGGGATCAAAGTTGAGTCAGACCGTTATGGATTGGGGAAGGACCAGCAATCAGGAACCATCCACACGCGTGCATGCCGATACTACCCTGGACCTATCGGTCCTGTAGTCGAACAAATAATTCCCTGGGGACAAATATTATTTGACTAAACCGCTAACCGCCATACCATTGGCACCCCTCTGTTCCCCCCTCCCTCCCCACCCCTCAACCACTTCGACTCACGTCTTCGGCACAGCGGGGGAAGGCTGGCTAGCCTCCGGCGCAGAGAGGCGGTTCCGGCTGCTCTCGTCCTCCTTCTCCCAGTTGGACGCGACCCGCTTGGCCATGATCCAGGTCCTCTCGCCCTCCGACTCTCGGCCGGGGGTAGGGGCCGCCATCATCTCGCTGCTGCCCGGGGCGGACCGCACTGAGGAGGCGCGGCCGCTGGGGTCGGCGTCGTCGTCACCCTCGTCGTCCGGCACGCTAGCGCTTCTATATATTTATATATTGAAAAAAAAGGTGAGCGGGAGAGGGGGGGGGTACGTGAGTGAGTTGTGGGGAGGGATGAGGTACGAACCTGAGAGTTCAAGCAGTTGGGGCTCGAGCGCCAGGTGTTTCGTGAACACAACACACGTCCGAGACTACGTGTCGCGCTTCTTCCGGGGGACGTGCGATCATACTACAACCTTCGACAGAACGTTTCCACTCTCTCAATTTTCCTCTCTCCCCGTCTCACCTTCTCACAAGCCTGGCTGCATTCGTGCCCCCAGACATCTCTAACAACATAAATACGATCTTCGCAGCCCCCCCCCCCCCCCCCCCCCCCCCCCCCCCCCCCCCCCCCCCCCC